TATTTCATATAGATGCGAATACATGGGTGTAAGGGTGAGTGCTGGGCATATGCATAACGTGTATGGGTGTGGGAGTGGTTATGAATATGTCAAGTGCTTAACGTATACTTAATGCGTATGTAGGTGTAGGGCATTATGGATATGTTACTCCCCCGGCATTTCTTATAAGCCTGTCCTCAGGTTTTCACTTTAGGGTATAGGGAGGGGATTTCCTCTATAACTATTGGGTTACTATTTTCTTCATCTTTTTCGTCTGCTTCATTAGGTTTTACATATTGAATAGTTATATTTTTAGGTATTTTCTTAAATTTGACAATTAGATACCCAGTTATGCTTATTATTGATAAAATGAACATAATTATTATAACTATCTGTAATATATTATTATATTTTGTTTGTTGTATAATTATTTCTTTTGTCTGTACATAAGACAATGGTTCTAATCTAGTTATGTTATTACTCACATAGACGTTTTGTGTAAAATCTAGCATTGAATTAGTTATTGTGAATTCGTTTAATTGAGTTGAACAATTGTAAATCTTAATTATATTATTGCCTTCGATTGTTATTTCTTTGTCTAAACAGTTTTGGTTTAATTTGGATTTTGGAAGGTTCCATGTTAACAATATATTTGGTTCAACGTAATTAATTTGGAAATTCTTAAAAGTTCTTGTGTATGGACATTTAGTGGGTTTTTGCTTTAAAATCCCTTTTATACAACTGTCTTCTATTATTTGCTTAGTTTCTTTGTTATATATTTTGTCTTCGTAAATATAATATTTGTCGAATATTAATTCTGTTAAAATATTATTTTGGTTATCTGGATAAGGCACAATTTTATATATTGGGATATTAGCGATTTCGCTCGGAATATTGGAGATTATATAAATTTCGTTTGTATCAACTTTTAGCCATGTAGAAGTTTTAATATTTAGCAATTTCTCAGAATTTATATGTTTCAGGTAATCTTGTTTTAGTAGTTTTGGGTTAAAAATACCAAGTCTAGTTAGTTGCATTCCCATTTCTATATCCTCTATGTATTCAGTGAAATGTTGTAGGTTGAAGATTAAAATTTCTAATTGTTGATTTTTGTTGGTTTCTTCGTTTAATTGGTTTATTATCTCAATTCCATGGTTTACTACTTCTATAACTGTAGGGAGCACGAGAATCACTAAAAGGCTCACGATTTAAGTAGTTTAATCTTTTTTATTTCGCTTGGTCAGTATTCAGCCGCTCGTCTTCCAACCAAAAGTGCCGGCTTCGATCACGATCCCCGCTTCCTTCCCTATCGATATTATCTCTACGATCTATTCTAATATATTCTACTCGCAACTCCGCTGCATGTATCGAGTTGGTGAACGATACCTACGCGCGCTCCTTAATATTTAAATGGTGTCTCTCTAAGTATTTACAGTACTCTACTTATATTACTACAATTCGGCCATCCTGACCGGAGTGCTCCTGAACTCCTTACAGTTGCCTTGGCTTCTTGTTGGCCTTATTTTTAACACGTGGTTTCATTCTTATTTTACTATCCTTAATCTATATATTAAAATCATTTTGTGTCATTTTTCCCTGTGACATTTACCTCGTTTCCTTTTCCCAGCCATGGCTTCATATTCGCTACCGCCCACACTCCTTTGTACGGGATCCTAGACTGCTGAAATCCTTCTACATCTTCCAATACGTATCTATCGTTTCTTAACACTTTAGCTATCCTATACGGCCCTTTGAACTTCGGAATAAGTTTTTTAGATACCCCTATATGGGTATCGAAGTTTTTCACCATGACTAGATCGTTGTCTTTGTATACATGTGGCTTTTTCCGTCTTGCGTCTGCTGCCTGTTTGTTGTAGTCCTGTACCTTTTCCTGATGAGTGTTTGCTTCTGATCTAATTTTTTCTAAATCCCTGGTCACTCGTTGCTCGGTTAGCTCTTTTAAACAATCACCTAGTAGATCTGACACTTCGATTCTCTTCCTGACCCCGAATAACATACGACTCGGGTGTTCATTAACTGTCCTTTGAATTGTGTTGTTCATTGCGTGTTCAACTGTTTGTACCACTGTATCCCAGTGTAAACCTTTCTCCGGGTCGACGAGCTTTGCGATCATTGGTCCTAAGCTTCTGTTAACTCTCTCTACCTGGCCGTTGGCTTGTGGCGATCCTGTAGCTATCTTTATGTGCTTAACGTCGTTCTGCTCTAAAAAATCCCCGAACTCTTTTGATGTGAAACAGCTTCCTCTGTCTGATACGATGCATCTCGGTCTGCTGTAAGCCCGAAAATAATCGTTCATTGCCTTAACTGCTTCCCTTGAGTTAGTGGTTTTTGTTGTGTAAAGCCTTACAAACTTGGTGAACGCGTCTATAACTACTAATATATGCTTGTTCGCTCTACTTTTGTCAACCGGTCCAAAATGGTCGATATGTACCACATCGAATGGAACCGATCCTTTTGGTACCTTGTGCAAAAACCCTTCCTCCTTTCCGTGCTTCGCCGAATACGCTAAGCATTTGAGACAGTTCTCTATGTGCTTTTTGGTTTTTTCCCTAACGCTTGGGAACCAGTAACTCTTCGATATCGCATCGGTCATTTTGTCTATTCCAATGTGTCCTAACTCATCGTGGTATTTATAGAGTACATGGCTTTCCATCTCCTCGGGTACGCAGAACAGGAGGGTATCGTTATCCTTCTTTCTATATACCACTCCGTTTCTCATCTCGTAATGTTTGTGCTCGGACTTCTGCAATATCTCTTTTAACTTTAACAATTTGTCGTCTCTGTTCTGGCATATTATTAGGTTTTCTTCAAAAGTGTTCGTGTCTATCGTCAGTATCTGTGTAACTCTTCTAAGAGCGTCCACGTGTTGCATTCTGCTCCCGGCCCTGTGCTCTAACTTGTAGTCATAATTCTGTAACTCTAACGCCCAGCGGGCGATGCGTGGATTCAGTGCTTTCTTGTTCAGTGTCATGGTTAGTGCATTGCAGTCTGTCACTATCTTAAATGGTATGCCTTGAACATATATTCTGAACCGTTGAAGGGAGTAAATTATCGCTAGAGTCTCTAGTTCGAAGCTGTGATATTTTGCTTCGGTGACTGTCGTCCTTTTGGAAAAATAAAACACTGGGTGCATCTTGCCATCGCTCTTCTTCTGCATTAGTATCGCTCCGAACCCTAAAGCGCTCGCGTCGCAATGTAACTCTGTTGGATCTAGGGGATTATATAGTGCCAATATTGGCGCTTCCAACAAGTTATTCTTTAGCTGCTCGAAACACTCTAATTCTGTGGCTCCGAACTCAAACTTTCTGTCTTTTTTGACGAGATCATAAAGAGGCTTGGCTTTCGTCGAAAAATCCTTCACAAACCGCCTGAAGTAAGAACATAGCCCTAAGAAACTTTGTACTTCGTTCGTTTTCATTGGAACTGGGAACTCTTTCACTGCCTGTAATCCTCTGGAGTCCGGTTTAATCCCGTTACCAGAAATAGAATAACCCAGGTACTTGACTTCTGACTGCAAAAATTCGCATTTATCTAACCTCAGCTCGAGTTTGTTTGCTATCAACCGTTTCATCACTTCCTGTAGAATTTCCATGTGACTGTCACTATCTTTTGTCGCTATCATTATGTCATCCATGTATATTATCACTTTGTCTTCTTTTACCATGTCGGCGAAAATCTTGTTAGTGAACCTTTGAAAAACCGCGGATGCGTTGCGCAGTCCAAATGGCATCCTTAACCACTCGTATTGTCCCATCGGCGTCGTGAAAGAGGTATATTTGACTGAGTCGTTGTGCATGAAAACGTGGAAATACCCGTTTTTCAAGTCTAATTTAGTGAACAGTCTTTTTTCTGCCAGTTTATCCAACAGGTCGTCTATCAATGGAGTCGGGTAGTTGTCTTTTATCATCCCCTTATTGAGTGTGCGATAATCGACGCATAACCTTAACTCTCCTGATTTCTTTTTTATTAGTACTATGGGCGAGACATATTCCGACTCGCTGGCTCTGATGTAGCCTTTCTCTGTGTACTCGTCTAACATCTTTTGAACTTGCGCCTTTTCGCTATACGACAGCCTTCTGGGGGGACAATGGAACGGCTTTTCGTGTTCGAAACTTAATTTCATCTCCCACTTTGTTTCCGGTAAATCTGGTCTGATTGCGTCCACATAGTCCGTTCTGAACAGTTTCATCAGCCTTTCTACTAGTTCCTGGCTACAGTCTGTACCTACTTTCAGGTCACACTCGTGCTTTACGGCGGGATATTCGTGCGGCAGATCGCAAAAGTTGACCCGGATGTTCTCGCATGTATCAATGTCTTTCAACCGCCCCCCTGCTGCACCATCTTTCCCTCCGAAAGACTCGTTTTCTCCTTCCCCTTCATTTTCTCCTACGTACTCGTCTTCTGCTTTACCTTCTTCTTCTCCTTTATACTCGTTCTCTACTTCACACTCACTTTCTTCTAACCACTCACTATGTATTACACACTCTTCTTCTAAACGCTCGTTTTCTCTTTCACACTCATTTTTCTCTTCGCACTCGTCTTCCTCTAAACACTCATTTTCTCTTTCACACTCATTCTTCCCTAACCACTCATTTCTCTCTTCTTCTTCGTCTTCCGTTTCACACTCCTCTTCTTCGTAATCGTCATTTTCAGCTTTGCCAACGTTCTCTTCCCCACTCTCATTTTCCTTGCAAATGTCACTTACAATCTTAAATTTACATAATCTCATAAAATCTCTACCTAATACAGCCTCATGGCCCATCGACTCGTTTGCCACTACTAATAGTTCAAAGTTAATTTGTTCTTCATTAAAAATTACAAAACCGGAAACTTGTCCGAAAACACGAAGTCTACTGTTGTTAAGACCAACGTATGTGTGGCTCGTATTTTTATTAATAACAAATGTAGGCTTCTTCGTTTCATTGCCATACTGTGAATTACATGAACTTAACTCGCCTTCTCGGCCTTCTGTCGCATTAATTTTGGTTTCTTGGTTGTGATATGAACTTAAATCTACTTGATTAATATTGTGTCCATTTGAGAGGCACGAGATCTTCACAAAACTTATTGGGCTCCCTGAGTCGATGAGGCAGTCTAAGACAAAACATTTATTACTAAAATTCTTAATGAATATGTTAAATTTACGGATGTATTCGTTCTGTACCTTATCTTTCCGTTCACCGCAATGTGCTATCTGGTGGTTCATGCTGCCGCATCCGTAGCATGCTCCTCTTTCACGCTTGGGCTTGCGACAATCCACTGCCATGTGGCCCAACGAGTTGCAGTTATAGCAGCGGACCAGTGACGAAGACTCTCCCGAGATGCTCCTTGCTCCTGGTGGCGTGTACTTCTTCGGCAGCATGACTTTCTCGAAAGCCCTCAGCAGCTGATACGGCGCGACGAAACACTGCATATGGGCTTGACAGATGGGCAGTGTCTCATCTGGGATGCCCTCGACGATGCCGTCGATTAACTCTTCGGCGTCGATGGCTATGCGAGACGCTAGCATCATTTTGTCGTTGAAGTAGCCGACGAACTCCTCGTCGCGCATCCACGACCGTGACTCAAACTTGCGGCGGAGTGATAGCTTGCTTTCCTTGAGTTGAAATGTATTCTCCATTATGTTTAATAGTTGATCAATTGGCGTGGACATGTGCTGTACCTCAGAATGCAGCCACATTAGGGCATTGTCTTTCAGCTTTGACATCAGCAGCATCAGTAGCTGCTCATACGACAGTTTGTTTATCTTTGCCGTCGCTCTGAATTGCGCGATCCAAGCAGTGACGTCACTATTGTTGCCGGAGGTGTTGCCGTGGTAGTTTGGCAACATGTCTTTCGCAACATTGAGTCGCGAGAGGCTAGACTCAATATTGACAGACGTGCCTGCACACAGCGGATTATTCTCGCTCTCTCCTCCCTTTTGCAGCTTTAGCAACTCAATTCGTAACTTCAAGGCCTCGATTTCGTTTGCTAGATCCGTTGCTTTTCGTTGCTCCTTTTGTGCTTCTGGTTCGTTGTTGTAGCTGTCGTTTGTCGGCGATACGATGGCCGACGTCGCATTATCGGTCTCTCCTTTGTCCTCACCGTTAGAATGCTGACTGGCGTCGTGGTTTTTTGTCGAATCTGGATTGTTCTGGAACACCTCGTTTTCCGACTCGCTCTCGCACATGTCTGCTGCTGGCGGCCCCTGTCCAGTGGGACTTCATTTAAACGGGCTGCCATGGCGGCTTTGGTCCCGTTCTTTGGCAAGTTAAGGGACTCAAGCCACTCCCGCAGTTGTGCCGCTGAGTATTGCTCTGCTCCAACCAAATCCGACATTTTCACTTGGAATTTTTAGTTTTGTTTTAATTGCAGCCGGCGTCGATTAAGGGTTGAAAAAGAAAAAAAAATGTGTAATTTGCTTGTGGCGACTATGGTTCTGATCCCACTTCTGAATTTGTAGGGAACACGAGAATCACTAAAAGGCTCACGATTTAAGTAGTTTAATCTTTTTTATTTCGCTTGGTCAGTATTCAGCCGCTCGTCTTCCAACCAAAAGTGCCGGCTTCGATCACGATCCCCGCTTCCTTCCCTATCGATATTATCTCTACGATCTATTCTAATATATTCTACTCGCAACTCCGCTGCATGTATCGAGTTGGTGAACGATACCTACGCGCGCTCCTTAATATTTAAATGGTGTCTCTCTAAGTATTTACAGTACTCTACTTATATTACTACATAACTAAATTTAGTTCGTTTGTTTGGATGCTATGTGTGGCTAGATTTTCTATTCTCTGTTCTAATTCTTTCTTGTCTTCTTGATCTAGTGTGCCAAATAAGTACTTATAGGCGGTACCTACAATATTTATTAGGCCTCTCTTGTTGCGTTTCGCAATTTTTAAGCCATTTATTTCCCTATTTAATTTATCTACTAGGTATTTTACTTGGATTACGTTTTCAAATTTATTAGCCATTACTAGAAGGTTTTGATAGGTTTCTTCAGTTTTTGTTACATTAACTGTTAAGTAATGGTATTCATAGTTAATCGGGAGGTCGATTGATCCCGTTTTAAATATGAGGTATCCGTTTCTGGACTCGATCGGATTTATTTCAATATTTTGTCCTACTGTTGTAAGGACCATTAATGTCATGATGACGATGATTTTAATTATGTTGCCGTTGATCGTTAACTTCTGATTCGATGGGCGGCCTGGAATTATCGTATTTGCTAATATTAATTTTTCTTTTCTTTTTATATTTGTTTTTGTAATGTGTTATCTTTCTTCCCTATTCTTTTCTTCGTAATGTTTTTCATCTATTTTGGTTATTTCACCCGTCTTTTTGAAAGGGTTAGTTATTTTGGACTTCACTAGAGGTGATTTTCTAAACCTAGTGTCTACTTCAAAGTCATTACGACTTTGGTTCAACTGGGTGATCTGATTCACCTTGTTCAGTTGAGTGTCGTACTCTGGACTTCCTGCGTATATGAATATATCTGCTGGTGTTCTGTTGGTAGTATTATGTCGGGTCTTGTGATTATATGTGTATATTATTAGTTCAAATTTGGTGTATTTGTTTTCGAGGTCATTCTCACTGGATATGATCCTCAATTTTTTGTTCACTGTTTTATGGAATCTTTCAACGTCTGATATTCCATTTTTACTGGATGTGATTAGGATCTTGACATCTTCCGAGATAAGCCATGCTTGCAATGCTGCGCACATAAAAGCTGAATCTTTGTCGGCTTTAATTTCTTGGGGTTTTCCCATTTCATTAAAGACTTTTAGTATCGCCCTTTTGGTTTCTAACCAGTCACGACTGTTCACTTCTATTAGGAACTGTTGGTTACCTATCAGATAGAAGTCCATTACGTAACGTTCTCGGATGTTTAAGACTTCCGGTGTTACTCCAAATGACAACTTGTTGTTTCTATGCTCGGTCTTGGCAATATTACACGTTGTGCATTCGTTTATTATGTTTTGTATCAATTTTTGGTGGTCAGGGTAGTAGTGTTTTCCCTTAAACCAATTGATGGTTTTCTCTATTCCAGGGTGAAGTAATTCTTTGTGGTTTTTCATTATCAATTCTTTGAATTCTGCGTAGTTGGGTATGTCTATGAGTTTTGAACTTGATTTCATAACTTTTGTGAAATTGTTTGGACTGATAATTTCTAAATACGCTTGTTGGAAAATTTTGAAATCAGTCTCGTTATGGAAATATAATGCACTCTTTTTGGTACATAGATATTCCTTAATGAGTTCTTTAGCCAAGGTGTTGGTCATTTCCTTGTATGTGATTTTGATAATCAATTTATGGAAATAGTGTTGTGTAGTTACTTTATCTTCATCTCCCTTGATCAACTCAATCTGACGATTGAAATAGTTGATTGGTCGTTCTGTAATGGGGATATGATTGAGATTGTCTTCTTGCGCACTGTGTATTGTGGCGCCTGCACTGTCAGAGACTTCTCCGAGTAGATTTTCATTAACTTTAACTCGGGAAAGGGCGTCAGCTACATGGTTTTCTTTGCCAGGTAGATATTTGATTTTGAAGTCGAATTCGTTTAATTTGATCTTCCACCTATGTAGTTTCATGTTTGGTTCCTTGAGGTTGTTTAACCATACTAAGGGCTTGTGGTCGCTAAGTATTTCGAATGTTCTTCCGAACAAGTATGATCGGAAATACTTAGTGGCCCAAACAATTGCTAACAGTTCTTTCTCGATAGCGGAATAATTGATCTCATGTTCATTCAGCGTTCGGCTGGCGTAGCAGATCGGTTTATGGTCTTGTGATAAGACTGCACCGATGGCCATGTTACTAGCGTCGGTAGTAACAGAAAACATTTTGTTAAAGTCTGGATACACGAGAATTGGGTCTGAGGTGATGAGTACTTTTAGTCTCTCAAATGCCTCGACATATTTCTCTTCTTTAGGATCTATTGTTGCTCGTTTCTTTAATTTGAGCGTCATAGGCTTGGCTATGTTAGCGAAATTAGGAATGAACTTCCTGTAAAATCCGCATAATCCTAAGAATGACTTGATTTGTTTTGTGGTTTCAGGGATGGGAAACCCTGTGATGGCTATGATCTTGTTAGGATTTGGCACTATTCCTTCGGGTGTCACTATATGACCTAGGAACTCAGTTTCTTTCTTCAGAAACTCACACTTATCCATTTGTAGCTTGAGATTTGCGTCTCTCAGTTTGCCAAAGACTTTTCTTAGAGACAGAAGGTGTTCGTCCAATGAAGTGGAGAAAATTATTATGTCGTCTAAGTACACCAAACAGTCGGTGAAAATTAAGTCTTCCAAAAGATCGTTCATGCATCTTTGGAATGTGGCAGGGGCGTTGGTTAGCCCGAATGGCATTCGAGTATACTCGTAATGACCATGTTTGGTAGAGAAAGCGGTTTTCGCGATTCGAGTTAGGTTCCATTGGGATTTGATGGAAACCTTTTGCCAAATCGATTGTGGTGAAGTATTGGCATTTTCCTAATTTGTCTAGGATTTCATCCATTCTGGGAGTTGGAAACTTATCCTTTATGGTTATCTCGTTGAGACCTCTATAGTCTACAACTAACCTGTACTTCTGTTTTACGGAAGCGTCTATCATCTTCGGAATCATTGAAATGGGGGAGCAGTAAGGCGATTTCGATTTACGAATTATTCCTTGCTCAATCATTTCTTTGATTTGCTTATTGACTTCTTCGTCATGTATTTGGGCATACTTGTATGGCTTTCGGTATACCGGATCTTCGTGTTGTGTTTGAATCGGATGTTTGACAGTACTTGTGAAGGTCAAATTGTCACCATCTCTGTACTGCACATCGCTGAATTCATACAACACCTTCTTCAACTTTTCTTTCTCTTCATCGTTCAGATGCTCAAGCCTTAGCTCCTGACATTCCCTTAGTTCATTATCGATAGCAGAAGTGAAGTGTTGATCCCCTTCTGAGGATGAGCTAAGGCACTTCTGTGCGATAATATCTTCTTCCGAAGATGTATCTTTGCACTTATGTGCGGTCTTAACCTCTTCAATTGCTTCTCCACTAATAATGATTGGGAATGTTCTTTCTCCGCCTGCTGCCACTAGCTTGGTTCTGATTTATTTGATAATTAGCTGGATTCTGTGCTTGACCTTTATTCAAGGAGTTACGAAACTCCTGTTGCAATCCAGGATTGTTATTATTGTTTCTAGATGTACCTGAACCAAATGGATTCTGAGCCTGTTGTGTATTATTACTAAAGTTTGGGTAATAATTCCCATTATTCTTCTGAGCGGACTGCTGTGGTTTATGCTGATCTTTATTGGTATTCTTATTTTCTATCTTAGCTTCGTATAAGCCTTCTTCTTGAGCGGCTTTTTTAAGTTTAGACAGTGTTGTTATGTCTTTTCGGACTAAGGTCATAAATGTTCTATCGGGGAGTTTACGC